ACAAACAGAAAGACAGACAAACAGACAGACAGACAGACAAACAGACAGACAGACAGACAGACAAACCAGCAGGCAGGCAGACAAACAGACAGACAGACAGGCAGGCAGACAGACAGGCAGGAAGGCAGACATTGATGGCTAATTCTTAAATGACTGAAACATTCCAGACTAATCTTCATAGCATCAAACGTTGTGGAACCACGATGAAGATCTGCTTTAGTCTCAGATTTCAACGAGCAGGATGGAGGATCAGTTCTGTCTCACATCACTGCTGCTCCTAATAACTCCACAGTTTGAACATCTTACATGTCGTTTTCCTGCAGCTCCTCACCTTCCTGCACTTGATGCACTTGTAGGCCCCATTCAGGATGAGGCTGGGGCACAGCAGCTCAACCGGGCCCTTCACTTCGGGCCCTCCCCCCCGCAGGCCGGCCTCTGGAAACAGCAGAGCGGCGGCGCGCCTCCTGTAGTTGTGGAAGGGCTCCTCCAGCAGAGCTCGCTCTGCAAGCAGGGTGGGGTGGGGGCTCCCATCTCCATACAGGGTCATCGCCACCGAACCCCCGTCCACCTCCACGTTAGGATGGAGGTCCTGCTCCCCCAGGGGCTGCAGCCCCAGCCCTGTGTAGCTGCTCCAGGCGTATGGTCGGAACGGGACGGTGAAGGGCTGGCTGTCGTCCACCAGAGGAGACAGAGACTTCTCCGAGTCCACTGAGGGAGGAGAGATGGAACGTTAATGAAACCAGTGATGTGGCTGGGGGGGGGGGGGGGGGGGCGTTACATACACCCCCACAGGACCTCAGAGAGCTAATATGAGGAGTGAAGAAATGCCTGCTGGGGGTCTTTAGGGAATATCAACAGGAACCTTCAGATCATGGAAAAATTAGCTTCAGTAAAATATTACAACATTAAAAATGAAGATTAAAACACTAGTAATGTTTAAAGTTTTAAAATAGTTAAAATATTAAAACAAAAAACATCATATTTAAATTTATTTATAAAATATAAATAAAAAATATTTTAAATTTAAACAAATTACAAATAAATTTCACACACACACACACACAATCAGGGCTGAGGTGTCTCATCCGTTTCTCAAACTCTCATTGATCTCCATAATTGTTTTGTTTTAATTGTTTAATTGTTTTATTGTTTTCATCTTTTCGCCAGTTGTGTGTTTTTGTCACACTCAGCTGCTAAAAGTCGTCGAGCTGGTCATACTGGTGCAAAATTAATATCTTTGATTTTGAACAGAAGAATGTTTCAGTAACACGTTAATCTGAACGGGAACTAATTTGGGATTATTTCGATTTTAATTTTTATTTAACCTTTATTTAGTCTCATTGAGTCACGAGGACTCATTTACAAGAGAGACATGTTTAGACAACAATAAAAAACAATAAAAAGCAATTAAAAACAAGTGTTTTAAAAACAAACAAGGTAAAATATTTAAAATGAAAACATTTGCTTTGATTTTTACAATGTTATGAAATGCTTAAAATCCCTTAAAGAACTCAATTAAATGGATTAAAGCAGAAATTATAATAAACATAAAATAACAAGAAAACAACAACAGAATAGATTGCGTCTTTATAGTTTAACAAGGACAGGAAATAAAAGTGTGCGCGCGTACCCGGGGACGCGGAGGGGGACGGCGGCCTCCAGAAGTCCTCACAGTCCGGGGAGCTCAGCGGAGACCTGGGGGAGAAGTCTGAGGCGTGTCCCCGCGGGGGGGACGGGGAAGGGCCGTACCTGTCCACACACATGTCCGTGTCCTCCTTCGGGAGCTCATCTGCTTCTGAAATGTCCAGAATAAATCATTAGAAACTATTATTCTATTATGTATTATTATATTTATATTGTTATTCTATTATATATTATTATTCTATTTTATTCTATAACGGGCCTAAATTAATTTATGCAATATTATTTAAAATAAATAGTTGGATATTTGCTTAAAAACATATAATATATAAAAAGAAATATTAAGGGTTGAAAATTTTCTATTTATTTTTTAACAGAATTTTGATTTAAAACAAAAGGCTTTTCGTTTTTGTTTTTTGTTGTAAAAATTAAATCTAATTTTAATTTAAAAAATATCTTATTTAGTTTTAAAACGCAAAATATAAAGTTGCTGGTCCAGTTCATAGTCGCAGTATTTCAGAGGGGTTGTATTATTTGGTGTGTGCACGCGCAGCTCCGCTCCTACCTGCACAGATGTGCGCCAGAATGTAGTCCAGGCGGCTGAAGTCCTCCTCGGGGCTCCGGGGCAGGTGGTAGCTGTGCGCCTTCTTACTCTTCACCAGGAAGGAGCGGGGCATGTCTGACAGGACAGAGGACAGTTCGGGACAGGAGGACAGTTGCAGAAGAGGAGACAGTCCTGTCCTTGGAGCGGCGCCGCGCGCGCGAAGAGTCTCTCCTCCGCTCAGCTGCAGGCTCTTTAAGAGTTCAGGTCACCAACTGAGCATGCGCACTGCGTCCAAGACGCTCGCCAGGTGTGTCTGGACAGGTGTCAGAGAGTTCCTGTCCATCATCCCAGAATTAGATTGGATTAGATAATCTACCGGCAGGAAAAAGTCAAATTTAAACTTTTCTCTTTTCCAGTCTTGGACCCCCACCTGCCCCCTCCTCCCCCCTCTGAGCTCGTGAGTCTGGAGTAGCTCGCGGAAATCAGACGCGTTAGACCTGCAGGTTTTATCAGTGCCTAACGGGGGAGGAGGGGGAGGAAACGCAGAGGCGCACCCCGGAGTGTCTGAGCTCAAATTAGCACGAGGAGGTGAAACAAAGAGGCGGGAAAAATCTGAACACAATCAGTTTTAGTGCGTGACACACACACACACACACACACACACACACACACACACACACACACACCTAGTGTGGGCCTGCGGGTGGGCGCAGCCTATCGGTGCGTCCTGACGCAGCAGGTGCATGACGTCACTCGTGTTATTTGAAGTAAAAATAAACTTTGATTTGCCGCCGCCTCTTTGAAGTCCTTTTAAATTTTATTCTGATTTCATAAAATTAAAGTTTTGGAAGCAAAACGTTTCCAGATTCATGTTGGTCCCACAGCTGCTCTATGAGCTCGTGACCAACATGTTTATCAGCTGAAGGTGAGCAGGAGATCAAAGTGTGTGTGTGTGTGTGTGTGTGGGGGGGGGGGTGGCTGACTGATCTGAGGTCGTGAATCAGGACTGATGAACAGAGTCCTGGTATGAGCTCAGAGTTTGGTTTGTGAGGCATCCTACATAATAATAATAATAATAATAATAATAATAGTAATAACTTTCATGTCCGTACTTCAATGCTCTGATGTGGTACCAACCATTTCTGCAGCCTATAACTTATGTCCCTCTTTGTTTGTCTTATTTTACAAAACATTTAAACATCAGATATGCAACAACACTTTTCATTTTCAAGTTCAAAAGGAACAAAGAAAAAAACATTTATGTTACATCTACATGTCTGCAGACGACACACTGACCGTGAAGTGTGTGAAGGCCCAAACATGATCAGGTCATCAGCGGCTAACAGAAGCTGCTCTGATACCACACTCACACACACACACACACACACACACACACACGCACACGCGCACGCACGCACGCACACACGCATACACACCTATACACAGACACATAGAGACACACAGACAGATACATAAACAGGAAGTAAGTGTAGTAACGGCACCTGATATTCAAGAGAAAAGCATTTAAAAATATAAAACTCATTGGATGAAGTGTATAATAAACCACACAAGGTTTTATTTGTGACTGTAGGGAGGGGAGGGGGTGACAGAGAGACCCCCCCCCCTCCTGCCCAGGAGGGTCTATGTTGTGTAATTCCCTTCAGACCTCCTCCTCATTTTAGTCATACAGACCAAAAACACATGAAGGTTATAAAGAGCTCTGAGCATGGTTCACATGACATGAAATTATGCTTTTTGAAATTCGAGCCCCTCCTGTGAAACGGCCCCTACTGGGCTCAGTGGGTTACACAGTGGTGGATTTCTGGCTGCCGCTCTAAGACACAGAGAGCTGGAGGGCCTCCCTGTCCCCGTCCTCGTCCTCGCTGTCTGTACTCCCGAGTTTTGGGTGCAGTTTGATCCGCCTGGTGCTCCTGTGCTGGAGCTCCTGGAGCTCAGAGGTGTCCTTTGCTCCATCGTCGTCCGAGGACTGGTAAGGCTTGTCCCACCCATGAAGTGATTGACAATATGGATCCCATCAAACGTGGGCTGACCGCTCAGGCCCCTCGGTCCTCTCAAGCAGCAAATCTGTAAAAGTAGGGATGATTGGTGTTAGCAGCTGTATTAAAAACATCAAAGCAGAAGTGCAGGTTAATAATGGCAGCATGTGTCTTCAGGCTGGAGGGACGTGAAATAAACGACTGCAGTTCCTTCATTTGTGACTGATTCAAGACAAATAAACTGAAGCTTCAAAGGATGAAACAACAAAAACAGTGCGACCGCTGAGTCAGCGTTATTTTCCTGTTTGGAGTTCCTCTCTGTTCATTGAAGTCAAACTACTGTAATTTAAACTACAGTAATTTATCATCCATCCATCCATTATCTTTACCCGTTTATTCCATTTTGGGTCACGGGGGTCGCTGGTGCCCATGTCCAGCAATCACTGTGCGAGGGGCGGGGTACACCCTGGACGGGTCGCAAGTCCATCACAGGGCCACATAGAGACAGACAAACGAGACAAACAACCATTCACTCTCTCACTCACACCTAGGGACAATTTAGAGTCACCAATCAGCCTAACATGCATGTTTTTGGTCTGTGGGAGGAAACCGGAGTACCCGGAGAAAACCCACGCATGCACGGAGAGAACATGCAAACTCCACCCAGAAGGCCCCTGGACCGGGGTTTGAACCAGGGACCTGTTCACTGAGAGGCAGCAGCTCTACCAGTTGCGCCACCGTGCTGCCCTACAGTGTAAGAGTACCACTGCCTGCAGCTCCTCCTCCAAGATGGCCGCTAATTGCCCTCACCTGACAGCCATCAGACTGAGGAGGCGTCCCGGCTACAAAAGGCTGCAGTCCAGTGCTACTCTTCGCTGAAGCATATCACCTTCCATGGTAGTTGTGCTTCAAGCCTTTTAGGCTATTACTCACAAGTACTAACCTTGCTCTCTTGTTTCCAGTGTTTCCTGGTTCCTCGGCTTGTTAAAAGGACCCCTTGTGATCCTTTGGTTTCCTGACTCCTCGTGTCCTGTTCCTGGTCCCTCGGACTCCCTCGTGGCCTGTTCTTGGTTTGTAGACCCCTTGGGTCCCCTCCTTGGCTCAACCTCCCTCGTCCCTGGATCTCCCTTGCCTGGTGCTTCTAATCCAGCCAGTGCCTGCCCTGCCAGCTACTGGACTCTCTGGAGCTCTCTTGGAGGATTGGAACCCGCCTCTGGACCAAACTGTAAGAGATTCACAGAACACAAAGTATCAGCTCCTAAGAACTCCACCTCCATTCTGACTGTCCTCCTCTACCTCCTCCAGGAGCTGCAGAGAAGCTGTACCAGAACTGTATATTATTTCACCTGTAAATAAACACTGTTCTTTTGTATCCACCTGAGTCTGTCTCGTTCCGGGTCTCATACAAATCTGGGTTCCCCGCGGTTATGACAGAAATGCTCCAGCCAAAGCAGACCCAGAATGAGACCGGGAGCGAACAGACAACCGCCATCTCACAGGTGGAACGGATCTCCAGACTGGAGACAATAGCTATGTTTACATGCGCAGAATTCTCTGACCGGATTGAAATTTGTTCTGTTTGAATAATTCAAATGTGTTGTTTACATGGGCACAATCTGTTCATGACGAGCGTTTACATGCAGCGGGCTTTGTTCTGAACAGCAGTACTGACATGCGCAGTGTGGTAAACTCTCCTTAAAAAAACCACCGAAGAAGAAGTTCTACTTCCGGGTGAACGTAAACAAACCTGAGCACCCAAAATGGACCCGCGACAGGTTTTAATGATGGTGGAGACGTTATTGCACTCCCTGACTGAGATACAGGTAATAGAAATCATTTTGAGCTCTTTAAAAGTTTCTAGTAGAAATGTTGTGTCGCTCACCGACCAGTTTTACTTCCCTGACATGCTAATATTATTAGCGTTGGCCAGGCGGAAATGGCAAAGTCGCACATGCGCAGTCAGGTCAGTTTTTCACCATCAGATAAAAATGAACAGATCAAGCGTTTACATGCGCACCGATCGGGTTTCGGATCGGCGTAAACCACCCGTTTCATTCTGATCAGAAATTATAACGGATCGCGCCGAATACACAAAAAATAACCCGAACGGAGCGTTTACATGACACACTTTTATTCCGACCGGCCATTTGATCCGGTTACTTATGTCCATGTAAACATACCCAATGTTGCAACAGGTTCTGACCCAGCAACGTGCAGCCCAGTCCAACATGCAGGAACTCGGAGGTATGATTTACTCCCTCAAACAACAGCTTCTACCTCCTCTTCCTCCAGATCCAACCGACCCGCCTGTCCCCAGCGTCCCTCGTGAGGCACCTGTCGCAACCTCCCATGGTCAGCAGCTGCTCGTCAAACCGTCTGAACTGTTCGCCGGAGATCCCGACCAATATGGGGGTTTTCTGCTGCAGTGCAGACTCGCTTTCGAGGGAGCCCCGTCTCTCTACCACACAGACTCTGCGAAAATTATTTACTTTATTAACCTTCTCAAAGGTAACGCCCTTCGCTGGGCTAATTCTTTTATACAGTCCCACGTGAATCCCCCGGCCACTTACCCCCAACTCCTGAAGGAGTTTCGACGGATCTTCGATCGCCCCCTGCAGGCTTCTAACGCAATGAAACATCTCCTGGGGTTACGTCAAGGCCGCCGTCCTGTTTTTGAGTACGCCCTGGAGTTCCGGATCCTGGCGACTCAAACGAGGTGGGATGAACTTGCTCTCCAAGGTGCGTTTCTGAACTCTCTCTCCGACCAAATAAAGGACCAAATCGCTGCACGAGACGAACCGGAAGGGTTCGACCAACTAATCGAAATGGCCATTTCCATTGATGACCGCTTCCGGGAACGGAGGCGAGAACGGGACTACAACCCCCAGAAACCTTCCACTTCCGGGTTTGCGGCCCCTTCAGGTGAACCTCGTTATTTTAAGACAGCGAAAGAAAGTTATCAAATGCAAACGTCCCCGGTTATTAATCCTCCTTGTTTGTCTCCCCAGACCAAACTTCCCGTGCCTCCCGAGCCAGAACCCATGCAGATTGGGCGAACACGGTTGACTTTTGAAGAGCGAGAGTGCCGTAGAAACGCTAACCTCTGCATTTACTGTGGCAACCCCGGTCATTTTTTACCTCTCTGCCCGTT